ATAACCTTAGCAATTTATTAATGATGATTTTATCCATCTTTAAGTACACTACTAAAAGAAAGGGAACAGTAGAATGGTAAGGAAAAGATGCACATAAACACTATTATAAAATACAGCAATGTTTTTGAGAATCCCCCTTTTAAAACGTATTTACACTAGTTTTTCTATCCCATGGAATTCAGCATTTGTGGCAGAGTTCGTTACATGCGTAAATTAAGTTGCAATAAAACTGAGCCTTCACAAATTTAAGTCATAAGGCTACTCTTGTAAAAGGAAGCTGACACACTGGAGAGTCTGAAACAATTACGTTCTAGCAGAAGGGTCTGTAGGCGGAGGACAGGATGGCACCGGTGCCACGGAAAGGGACAGAGATGCAGCGTGTGCCTTCAAGGGACAGGGAAAGCCACAGCCCATTCCAGCTTTGGCACCGCCATAATGAATAAGGCACCAGGGAACTGGGAGAAGTGACAGATAACCAGTAGTACCACTAATTTGTTTAGATTCCGAGTGTAAAGGTTTGCTAAATTTGTTGCTTGAGAGGCCCAAAATAAAGTCTAAAGATAAGGGAACACCATGTACAGCCTCCACTGGACCCTGCGCCCTCCCAGATCTCAGTGCTTACACCCCCCATCCATCTCTCTCCGTTTTTAAATTGAGGGTTGGCTGTTTGTGTTTGAAGACACTGCTAGCGTTGTAGTAACCGAGGCAGACAAATGCCTCAGGGTAGAATATTTGATGGTCACTGAGGAAAAGCTATTGTAATTGGAGTTAAATTCATTTCTCTATCAAGAGGAAAAAAAACAAGAATAAAAGAAATAATCACACAACGCTAACTGAACTATAGAAACATAAGCAAGGCACTTTATATAGAGAAACAAGATTAGAAATTTACCTAGTTCTGACCCCTTGGAAAAAGTTGTCTTTCAATTAAATGCAGAATAGAAGCAAAAACTACCTGGCTTGTGCACCCCAGTAAGTACAGAAAGACAACAGGGAAACACGCAGAACAGCCACATAACCCATATATATGTGACCCCTTGGAAAATGTAAGGACAAACCTCGTGATTGAAAAAGTTGTCTTTCAATTAAATGGAGAATAGAAGCAAAAACTACCTGGCTTGTGCACCCCAGTAAGTACAGAAAGATAACAGGGAAACACGCAGAACAGCCACATAACCCATATATATATATATATATAAACTTTATCCAAAAGCACAACTTATATAAAAGGGGTGTGTACACACACAGACCACTATAGTCATGTACACATACAATGTCCCCCATGACTGATTATTTTTCAAGCCTCCATTATTTTTTCAAGACAAGCATAATAAGTGAAGAAACACCACTCAACTGCACCACAGACCAGTGCCCACCAGGAAAAGAGTTTCAGTGGTACCTCAGGCACATGTCACCGAGTTAACAACTCCTCCAAGTCATTTTTATTTTTTTTTTTTTACTGTAAGCAGTGGATAAAACTCTCCATTTGTGTCATCTCGGTGCCCACCAGGAAAAGAGTTTCAGCAGTACCTCAGACACATCTCACCGAGTTAACAACTCCTCAACTCCTTCAAGTTACACTTTTTTTTTTTCCTGTAAGTAGTGGATAAAACTCTCCATTTGTGTCATCTCAACTAAACACCGTTTTTGCGAGTTTCAAACAGTTTTTTCATCCTCTCAAGTGTGAATTCTGCACATTGATCCTGGCATCATGTAATGTCTTTTATACCATTTGGCTGGGTGAAGATCAATAGTGGTTAGAGAGCAGGATTGTGTCTCCCCAGCAGACTGAGGCTCTGCCTGGCCTGGCACTCCCTGCCCAAATTTTAATGTCTTTTATGCAATTTGGCTGGGTGAAGATCAATAGCGGTTAGAGGGCAGGATTGTGTCTCCCCAGCAGACTGAGGCTCTGCCTGGCCTGGCACTCCCTGCCCAAATGGGGAATATCCATCTACCACAAAATTTTTCTAGAGCAAACCCAGGCCGTGGCTTCACACCAGTGACTCCAGACTACAGTCACTCGTTAAACCACCTGTCCCAGGAACAGCACAGATACCTCAGAAGCTTCATCATTATAAATTAACCTCGTTTCAGACCCAGAGCCAAAACATGACAGAAATATTTGCAAATCTTACTGATCCTTTTTCATGATATGCACAAACATGACCTAGAATTAAAAAAAAAAAATAATCCCCAAGCCTTATTTATTGCAACTTCATTATTTCAAGTGCACTGAACATACACAGAGGAGAGCAAATTATTGGATTTTTTTATTACTTTTTTATATATGAAATCAAACAGCCATATATCAGGACAGTAATTGCAGACTTTTAACAACGTATTTGTATTCAAACCAGATCAATGAAAAAACCTAATTGCACTAATCCTTTATTATAACTTTGCAGTCGCATTATTTTCTCCATTGACATTTTTTCCGTAAGAGATTGCTACTAAGCTGTTGGTGAGCTCTTCGGAAGCCAAGAAAAACCAAGAGAAAACTATCCAAATGAGTCAATTTATCTCCCGATTCCCGATGGCTCCTGGAGGAGGGCACCGGAGAGCACAGGAGCTGCACCTCCAGCAGGGGTGAGAATAGAAACCCTGGGGTGGGAACGGGGCACCTCCAACTGCCACCGCCCTCCCTATTTGATCTCAGTTGAAAGTACAGTAAAATGAACCGAAAGACCAGTTTTAAAAGCTTTACTCAGATTCTTGTCTCCTCTGAAAGCCTATTAACGAAACGGCTTCCTGTTTCATTTTCTGAAGACAAACAAAAGCTTTCATCTACCTTGTTTACTCGCTTCACCTCCAAAATTCCCATGAAGCACTGTAGCTTTGATTGGATCAGTTTTTGCCAGAATAAAATAAAAAGCATAACTGTAGCTTTGCAAATATATTAGCAACAATATTTGCAAGTATTAGCTTTGCAAATGTTTTATAGATGTGCAAGGGAAAAATAGAGTTATCTGTTCATTTATAATACAGATTATTCCATCAAAGTGGGAAAGCAAACATGTTTAAAAAGGACTTACATAAGAGTGGAAATACAAATATTGCATATATTAACTAGATTACCATATAGATATGGGTATTACTTGAATTACTAAGTTAGTTGGAAATGCGTAAGAAAAGCAAATTTCTAGGTCATCATTAGCAGGAATTTGCTTAGATCCCTTTTATGCTCATTTCCCCATAGCTGTAAAAGTTCCCATCACACTCTCACTAAATATATTAAAAACCCTGACCAATAATTTGACTAAAGAGCACAGGATGGGGTTAGTGCACAGCAGATGGGTTTAAGCTGCTCCTCAGCTTCAGCTGGGAGATGTCTCTCCAGGTATATCCATTCTGCCCACTAAAAAAAGGCCCAAAAAAAGAAAAGCCAGCCCAGGTCAGCTGCTGCAGACTACAGGCAGAATGAGACTGTTCACAAACACTTGACTGTTTGCTTCCCAGGCTTTAATTTGGGGTGTCGCTTGTCCTGCTGCCGAGCCCCACTTGGAAGAAGGCTGGCTCCATCTCCCTGCTAAGCTCCTCACAGGTACCAGCAGGCTGAGAGTGGGTCCATCCCTCTCCCCCAAGACTTCTTCAGGCCAAACAAGCCTCTCCTAAAGCTTCAGCCCCCAGCCAGACTGGGGGCAGGTCAAGCAAGCTCACTCCAGTTCCATAAAGTCTTTGACACTGGACATACTGGGGAGCCCCAAACGGGATGGAGTATCCTGGATGCAGCTTCAACCCCGCTTCCCTCAATCCACTGGCTCCGCTCCGGCTGCTCCCGTTTGCACTGGGAGTTGGCAGGCACAGACCGTGTTGGACAGTCCCAGCCACCCGCCTGCCTACCTGGAAGGGGCCAGGTCAAGATTCTTCTCTGCTTAATACGAAGCAGAACTTCTCAGCTCAAATAATATCAAAACAGGACCCAGATCTGAACTCCGGATAACACATTCAGAGGACAGTGCTCATTTCATACAACTTCATTTTTAAGCTGTTAAACAAATAGACAGACCTGATGAAATATTAATTTGACTAATTATGGCAACAGAAGCCCAGAAGGAACTAACAGCTCCACGGAAACAGAGCGATACCTGTTTCCAGCACTGACAACTGCACGAGCTCCAGACACGGAACAGATGGCTCAGAAAAACCTGTGCAGACTGTGTTGGTATCAACCTTCGCTTGGGCTCGGCCTCCCTGGTTTTTAAGATGCAAAAGCTTCACCTGATTAGAGAGAGCTGAAGCGTGAGCTACAAAACAGAATTTTTAAGTAGAGACAGGATACGAAGTATTCATACTTCGCATTTCTTCCAATTCATAGACTTTAACCAAATTTAAAGCATTTACCTTCGTAGGACAAAAAGCTCTTCAACAAGCTCAGACAGAAGAACCAAACTATCTTCCCAACATAGAAATTCAGCAGATAATACTTCAAACATAATTTGGGTGCAGTTCTTTATGGAAGAAGTCTCCGATGATCATCTAGCCCAGGCATCTGCTCTGAGCAGGTCTCTCTAGACCAGGTTGCTCAGGGCCAACCAAGCTTCAAGCCTCTCCACAGACACGCAACAGAAGTATACCACCAGCCAAAGCAATAAAGCATGGGGAGATAGGCCCCCAAACTGGCTAAGGTATACCAAACTGGTTAAGTGTCTTCAAATTAAAAGCACAGAAATCACAGGAAGCAGCAAATAAAGCAACAGTAACAGGAACATTAGGAAAGAACTTTTCTGAGGAATCTAGCAATAAACACTACACGAAGTACCTGAACCATCTGTTGCCACAGTTGGAAAGAAGAGGGAGGACACGATACACCAAGACCTTCTGAAAGCCCCAGGATCTAGGCATTCAGCCTGGCCAGAGGGAGGCAAGAGCTGGTTCTCAGCAGGGTACCACCCCAAACCCCACCTGCCCCTCACCCCAGAAGCAGGACTTTTCAAAACCTAGCTCAATAAAGCAGCGTGTTCTTGAAGGAACCACGAGGCTGTAACACCACCTCACCTAACCTGAACGCAATGGGCTGGCTGGGGGGCTCACCGACACCACCACCACCATGGCTGTTGCTGCCAGCCATGTGAAGTGCACCATTTTGGCACTAAGAGCAGATCGTGCAAATCCAATGACTAAGACACTCAGCGACAACTTGGACCTTGACGCAGAACTATTAACTACTGTGACGTCCTTCAATGTCCCCAAACACCTCTTCACACCAGTTCTTGACGCCAGGTAAGCTCCACACTGCAGAAATGGATCCATTAATCTGTGGTGGAACTGGGTTTGGATGTTTGTGACTGTATCCATCAGCTGCACTGCACGTACCATCACCAAAGGGCAGAGCAAGCTGCCATGACCTGCAGATCCATAAGGACAGTGTGCTACACCTTCAGATGTGACTTCTCCCTCCAAAGCCACCACCAACCTGGGCAAGGAGCCCAAGGACTTCAACACCCTTCAACTGCAGGCTTTTTGTCATTCCCTTTCAACAATAAACTACCATATACTGCCAGGTCTACTTTTCTCCTCTATTTCAGGTCTCCAGCTCACATTAAGGTAAGGGTTTCAACATATCCTTCACATTTGCATCACGGCAGATGTCTGCTGCAACAAGCTTTCTATTTTAAATAATACCTCTTGATAGAATTGCATTAAAATATAAAGCAATTTACACAAATAAGTTAGTTCAAGCATCGCAGCATAAAACAATTTCCAAAAGATGTTACGGCAAAGCTTTTCCCAGGTTCTTTAAGATCTTCTGCTGTAATTTGTCCCAGTCACTAAAACACTACCTTTAAGATAAAAACCACAGACATTTTCAGCTGAAGAGGAGGACCTGCTCCCCACAGGCATCCACCACTGGCCACTGGCAGACACTGTTATGAAGCTAAAAATTCCTTTGGTCTCATTTTCCCTGTCCGTTCTGAGGTTTTATGTAAATAGCCTGTAGAGCCTTCTCCTGAGAAATTTTCCTAACTCAAACATACCCTAATTGCAGCATAATCAGATAATTAGACTGCAGTGCTTGCTACATCTACCATTAACACTCACAAGCTATATTTAAGGGGGGGGGAGGAAGTTTTCTTTCAATCAATTCACAGCACATTATGACTGTCACAAATGCGATTCTGTGTTTTTTAGCAGAGCAATTTACACTTTCTAAACAAAAATTTCCAAGAAAAAAACAAGTCTAGTAAGTTGTAGAGGTTTGGGTTTTTTTGTGGGTTTTTGCTCAGTTTAAGAACAAGAACCAGAATCCTGAAGTACTGAACCACCTCCTTTCAGTCACAAGTGGGATGAAATACAGCTTTCCCAGAGAGCCAGGCACTCATGTCACTTTTAACCATGAAAAAGTCTCACACAAGAACATGTAAAATCCTTGTACCCGCTCAGTAACAGAAACACCCACTGCTTCAGGATCTCACTGTGGCCAAACTGAAGTTGGGAACTGGCCAAAAGACGAGGTATCTGTGAGGTGACCCACTTCAAGAACACCACTCCGTGTCTACAAACACGTTGTAAGACATTAATATGCTGTTCACAACCTTTTTTTTTTTAAACTCAAAAATTATTAAGTTTCTGTAAGATTTCCTGGCTTTGAATCACCCAATAACATGCATTACTGGGGTCCTCCTTCACTTACTGCACTTATCTTACTTGCACACGAGAGGGAACATAAATCACAGAATATTAACTAAAGTAAGATGCTCTGCCCTTATTTCATTAGGGTTTCTTCGCAGCAGGGACTTCTTGCAGCCAATATTAAAATGTAATCGCCTTGTCTCCCAAAGTTTTAGAATACACAGCTTGCATGTATTAAAAGTGGTGTTCATCTTTGTAAACATGCAGTGAAAAAAGAGACGGGCAAGTTATTCACATTTTCAGGCTTAACAGTTTCAGATCAGCAGCATCTCCTGCCCAGACCAGTACACCCAGTACAGCCACAGCAATCCACACAAGGCATCTTCAACCAAAGTGGGCAACGCTGAGGGATGAGGGGAGCATTAAATATTTGGCAGCAGAGTTTGTGGTGGTACCAGAAGCCTGCAAGAGTGCCCAGCGCGGCACAGCCGCTGGAGGAGCGGCCACCAGGGCAGGCAGATGGGCCAGTACCCAGCGAGCCACAGGCCAAAGTGTGTCAGGAATCTCGTGCAATAAGCCCTGAGATAACAATATCTAATGGGAGCACCCAGAGCTGGGTCACCTTCATTTCACCGTCTGCACCCACATCCCAAATACAAGCACAGAAAAATCTTCTTGTACTGAGTTTTATATATACTGACTTATTTTTTCATATATAAAAAAATATTTATATATTCTTATATATAAAAATATACACATCAGTATAGTTGTACAACTGTACCTACATAATGATTTCTAAAGCAAAAATTAAGCTAGAGCTATCGATGGGGCAGATAAATCCATGGGTTTTTATAGAGCGTACAATAGATCATTTGGGACTTATCCAATAATGGCATTAGATCTACCTCAGTATTCAAATTAATTTTATTACTAAAGCAGCCTGAGTGCTCTTCATAAATACGTTGAGTGAAGCAGGCGATGTGCTGAGGGCATCTCTTACACAAGGCACTGCTTCTTGAATATTTTCAGTCCCGGGGAATTTGGGGAAATGAATGTGGGCATCATCTCACCTGTTTAAATATACCCTGGACACGAGTGCTACCTCTTAAATTGCTAATCTAGGTGAGCTATTTTTACCAGAATGTATTCCATCAGAGAGATCTCCTTGGAAACTATAATTATCCAGATATTTTAGAAAATCTAGGACTACAATGCAGGACCACAGGATGGAAAAAGACCCAAAAAAGCCTAAAAGGACACTGCCTAATGGGAGTCCCACCTGCACCAGGGGAGTGACAAAAAGCAAGGCAGAGCAAGGTCACACAGCACAACAGAACCAAGGGGCAATGACACTGGAAGAGCATCTTTCGGTGAGAAGTTAGACTTGTTTGCACAGACCAGTTTTTCAACCAAAAATGAGTGTGTATAAAACCAAGCACACAAACACACTGGAAAGCCCCAGTTAATCCAAAGGTTTACCACTTGACCAGGACTCCAGGTAAGCGCGATGGCTGGGAAACCAGCAGTGTCACATCCCAGCTCTGCAGCACAGAGCACTGGCTGTCACAAGTTCATGCTCACAGCAGGTCATTCTGCACCTAAAACCCATGCCTGAAGGGCTGAAAACCACCCCCCAAAACCAAAAGCGTACCAGAAGTTCACATCCAAACCACAAGCCGAGGAGAACATCACAAGAAGAGCTCACAAAGTTTGCATAACTTGATTTCAGTTCACACGGGAAAAAAATTAGTTGAAGTTTTGACCATGTTAATACTCAGGTGCCTGTGATATTTCATCGATTGAATTTAATAGCATTAATTTTGAATGCGACTCGTGGATCATTCTCTAAATGCTATGCCATAAATATAATTGAGTCTTGATGAAGTGATCAGGTGGGAAATGGGAGCTCTTTCCCCACTATGCAATTCAAGGTTAAGCTGCAGCTCACTAAGGATCGTTAAGAACTGCCACAGACCCTCTCCTTCAAAAACCAGACAAAAAAAAAAAAAAGTCTTCATTTTATTCACTCTAGATTCCCCCCCTCCCCCCTTACCAGCTCCTCCTTCCAGCTTACCGGTAACCTTGGAAGAATGACACTGGTGGAGCTACTAAATAAAGACAGATTTGCCAATGTAGTCAAAGGGGCTAAATAAAAAGGAAATTACTTCAAGCTACTAGTAGTGTAGCAAATGCTGGTAGTGTATTCTATGTCAAAGTTGAAATTTAAATTAAATTCAAAATAAACCAAGCTGCATTTTCAGCCACCTGCTCGTCATTTCATCTCTGTGGTAACAGAGTCAGAACAAAAAACACCTCCTGGCCTCACCTTTAAAATCATGGCTACACTTGGTCACCCTTCTGTTATGTTTGTGAGTTATTTCTTCATGCTGGAAGAAATCTACTTTCTAGTATTTCACAGCAAACAACTAGACTTAACAAAAAAGTGGGTGATTTAATCAACAAAAGACATCACCACTGGTGTAAGAGTGTGCAGCAGCAGAGCTCAGAAGAGGCACAGACAAGCGATCTCTCCAAGGCGGTCATTCCTGGTGGTTAATGGCATGCTTCTTTATTTTATTCAAACATTAAGTTGAAGAATAACACCCGTCCTTGAAATCTCTCCAGTCCTCTACCCATGCTTACAAATTGCCTCTTCATCTTCAGAGCTACGCTGCCTCCTTGGTTCAAGCTTTTCAAGTACAACCTTGGGTTTTTGCACCTGTTCCAAACTGTCCCCCCGCTTTGTGTCACACTACAGGAGAAGGAATATTAACAAAATCTAAGTCATAAATGTTTTCCTCATCAATCCAAAGTAAAGCAGTAATCTTCATCATCCTGTCCTGCAATTATGCCTCTAGATCACAAGTTTCTTAGAGCTTTTTTTCCACCATAATTGGTTTCAGCCATAAATAATTTTTTGCATGAGAATTTTTTTGTAGCCTTGGTACTTTGAATCTCCCCAAATTATGCCTCTAGATCACAAGTTTCTTAGAGCTTTTTTTCCACCATAATTGGTTTCAGCCATAAATAATTTTTTGCATGAGAATTTTTTTGTAGCCTTGGTACTTTGAATCTCCCCAAATCACTGATCCATTATTGATCCAAGATGAAAACACACTATCAATTTTTCACTGAACTATTGATCAAGCGAGGTCAAACCTAGCGAGATCCAGAGTATTAGAAATCCACAAGTAAACAGATGGAACGAGCTACAATATTTCCAATAACATATAAGGAAAGGAATTTAGAAAACAATATTCAAACAGCTTGTTGGACTGCAGACTACTTGTCAGAGGGCTTCAGCAGAGCATGTACTGATTATAGTGAAAGACTGTGATCCTCGTTTGCAGAAAAAAAAATAAATACACTTTTTGCGGATTGTTTGTAAGCAGGCAACTTCCCTGAGCTTCTGCAGACACACAGCCTTTTTTGCTCAGGCACATGTACCTGATGATACTTTCCATTCTGATACACTCACC